TCAGTAAGAAATTTGGAAAATCGTTTATAAACACTCATAATTATTAACTATTTTAAATTAAAACATTAAATAATCTTAAATCTAAAAATTTTATTTGAGATAATGCGCAAAATCATCATATTTTCTAATAATATTATTTTAATTTATTTATACGATATTAAAATATATAAATCACAATAGCTGTAGTTTTTAAAATAAACGTATGAAATAGAATAAAATATTTCCTAAATGAAAAAATGAATACATCCGTTCCAAAACGATTTTGACCTTTAAAATTATGATTTTTGAAAAATCCCTGAACATTCAGAGTTTTAGGAGAACCACAATGTGAAATTGAAAGTTCACAAGTTTTGTTGTTTTTGAGGTGAAACTACCAATAAGTAAAGTGAGTGAATGTTGTTTGAATTTTAAATGCATAGATTAACGTAGATAGTTATATTATAAGATTAAGTTAGTTTTAGATTAGATAGTTCATAATTAATAACAACAATCGTATGACTTTATTGTGGACGTACCTACTATTAATGTAGTAATTGATGTGGTGAAATATTATGTAATTTAGATACACATATTTTAGTGTTTCTTCGTGGTACATTAGAACGATTGCGTACGGATGTAATAGTATAATTTATAAATGAATCGTCGTCAAAATACACTCATCCGAAGGAACGAATGAATAAATTTAACAAATATTATTGCGTTTTAATTGTTTGTATGTTTTTTATTAATAATAATAATAAAAAGAAATTGAATTAATATTTAAATCAAAACGAATAGAGTCAGTGGAAAAAATATAGAAATAAAAACGATCCATTCTATTTATGTATACTTGTTTCGTTAATTAAATAACTTTACAGACGTAGAAAAAACGTACGTTGTTGACTAATATTATCTTCTGGGTGTTACGTGAAAGAAACTGTCCATAGATTTTTATCGCCTTAAGAAAACATTTGTATTATTATAATTAAAAAACGCTTTGTATATTATAATAGTAATAATATTATTATTACTAATAACAATAATAATAACAATAATAATAATAATAATAATAATAATAATAATAATAATAATAATAA